AGAAAAAGAGAAGAAAGAGGATGAGAGAAAAAAAGAGAGAGATGGGGAAAAGCACACATCTCATTTTGTCTTGTTTTAGGTCCAGTCTCCTACATGACCATTCTTTTCTCTCCTATATCTAAAATTAAAGAAAAGCACCGAGACAAAATCTCTAGTGCTAGAAAGTACTCTTTTTTATTTTTTTGGTGGTTACCAAAAAAGACTAAAAGAAATTTAAGAAAATTTTCAAATTGAAAGCGTTTCTAGAGTTTTTAGCTTCTGATGCGTCAGGATTTGGAATTGGGGGTATCTTAGTCAAGAGGGTCCAACCATGGTGCACTTTAATGAAAAGGTTAATGAAGCTAAATGGAAATACTCTACATGTGAGATAGAATTTTACACTATATGCCATTGGCGTATTTTTTATTACATAAAGAGTTTGTTTTATAGTCTGATTACCAAGACTTGAGGTATCTTCACTCTCGAAAGAAACATTAAGTGCTACACGTGCAAAATGGGCTGCTTTCTTCAAGATTTTAGTTTTTTGCTCAATCATGTCATTGGTATTGGAAAGAAGCCAGCCGATGCTCTAGTCGAGTTGTAGCAGTTCTTTAAGCTATGAGCATCTGCTATAGGATCTGAAAGGATGGGGAATGAGTATTCCTCTTGTCCTGATTTTGATTAGATATTTCGGGAGGTTTAGGATGGTAATCGCTGAGATTGTATTGATTTTGTGATTATTGATTTGTGACGATTATCAATTTCATGGATCTAGGCTATGCATTCCTTGCACATCTATTAAAGACTAGTAGTGAATTATATGCTGGAGGAATTGGTGGTCACTTTGGTAGAAATAAGACAATTTCCCTAGTAGTGGATAAATTTTATTGGCTGCTGTTATCAGGAGATGTTACTAGAATTGTTTTCCAGTGTTGCATGTGTGAGTTAGCGAAAGCTAGACAAAGGAATACTGAATTATATACTCTTTACATGTTCCGCACACAATTCTATTTTCATTCTTGTGGATAGGTTTCTAAGATAAGACACATTTCATTCTCTAGGCTCCAACACACTTCCATTGTGTTTGATAGAGATGTCAGGTTTGTAAGTTACTTATAAGACACCGAAACTTTTTGAGACTAATATAGAAAATTTCTCCATTTTTTACATTCATCTGATGTGAAACTGAGGTCATTAATCATAGTTGCGGAAACTTGGTTAGGTGTCTTTCTTGAGAACACCTAGATATATACACCTAGATATATAGATATAAAGATTTATAGTATTTATAGCATTTTTTCAAACCATACACAATCTTTCTGAGTTTGCATACATTAGTTCAATCAGCAAGTCCACTAGCAAGAATCTCTTTAAGATTGTGTATGGTTTTTTTCCTCGCCAGTCTATTAACCTAATTCCTTTGCCCTCTAAGTCTCGTCTTTCTGTGTTCCCTTCATTATTTTTTTTTTTGGTAAGTAAAATGAATTAGAAGGCGTTCAAAAGGGGAACGCGTCCCAAGCTATACAAAAAACTGAAACTATGATCTCAAGGAGTCCAAAAAGTCCACAATATCCTCAATGGAGGAAAAATCTCTCCCCCAACCCCAACAAAAAAGAGTACAAATAATAGAAAATTTCAACACCCCAATGGAGGACTCCTTCCCATCAAAAGATCTTCTATTCCGCTCTTTCCAAATGCTCCACCAAACACAAAAGGGGGTTACCCTCCAGAAGACTCTCGCTTGAGCCCCTACCCATTGGCCCCTCCAAATATCCAGCAATTCCCGAGATGTCCGAGGCATAACCCAATGAATAGCAAACAAATAAAAAATGAGACTCCAACAATCATGAGCCACAGGACAATGCAGCAGCAGGTGATCCACTGAATCCCTATTCAACTTACAAAGACAACACCGATTAACAATAATATGTCTTCGCTTCCTCAAGTTATCCAAAGTCAAAATCTTGCTCCAAGCTGCAGTCCACACGAAAAAGGCCACCCTAAGAGGCGCCTTGGACAACCACACCTTTTTCCACGAGAAGGAAACGCCATGAAAACCAGAAAGGCACACAAAAAAAGACCGGACCTGGAACATTCCCTGAGAAGAGGGCACCCAAAACAGGGAGTCAACACCAGTGCCCTTCACCTCCTGTCTGTACAAGAGAGCCAACAAGCCAGTGACATCATCCAACTCCAGATATCCATGACATTCATGATATTATAAGATGAAAAAATGCTTTAATTAATTAATTTTATTTATTGAAGAGCATCCAAAAGGGGGACGAGGCCCAAACAATTGCTCAAAAACTAAATCCTCAAGCTATTCACAAACGACAAAAGAATCTCCCATAGAATCACAATTGGAACCCTAAACCCAAAAATATAAGGAACTAGAATATCTATACATCCCCCAAGGAGTCTCTATCCCATCAAAGGATCTATTCCTCTCCTTCCAAAGAGTCTACCACAAGAAAAGAGGGGTTGTCCTCTATGCGTCTCTAACTTGGGGTTGCACCCGACAACCCACCCCAAGCTACAATCAAACTCACTGAGAACTCGAGCATAACCCAGTGGGTCCCAAAAATAGCACAAAGAATATCCCAACCCTCCCTAGCTCTTGGATAGTGAAGAAGATTATCTACCAACCCCTCAGCCCGCTTAACACGCAAGACCAATTGACAATAATTTGTCGTCTCTTGTCAGATTGTCCATGGTCAAAATCCTCCCCAAAGCTGCTGTCCAACCAAAAAATGTCACCTTCAGAGGGGGGCTTGTGAGCACCAAATACCTTTCCATACTTATCAAAAAAAAAAAAAAAAAAAATTACCAAATACCTTTCCATAGAAATGTTATACTTTGAGAATCCATCAGGCGGCAACAGAACTAGCAGACCTCAAATCTCCCATGACCCGAACCTGCCCACAGCAACTCATCCGTCACCTCACCTTTATGCTGTGTTCGGTAGGAAGGAAGAGGTGTGGAGAGAAAATAGGAAGGAAGGAACGAACTTCCAAGGAAATAATTAATGGGCTGACTGTAAAGCAGAGCCAAAACCTCAACCATCTCCTCCACCTCCCAATCGTGCAAAAACCTCTCGAATTGAACATTCCAAGATAGTCATCCTCCATCAAGGCGATAGCAATGAATGACCATCGTCTCCCTATCAATCGTTGTGTAGATCCACATGCTATACGTACCTATTATTGGTGCTGACGCAGAGGGTAGCTAGTTTCTGATGCAAGGATAGCACAACCACATGTTTCATTAGGGTTCTTTGCAGCTATTTTCGACTTCTTTTATGTATGCGACTGTGTGTAGCACCTATTTTGGACATTAGCGTTCTTTGGGTTGCCTATATATACATGGACATATGCATTGGGTTGGGCAGCTTTTGACGAATATTGCCAAAGATGAGTTTTTATGTAATTGATCCTGACCTTTTGGAATGGTACCATGAGTTTTGCTCTCCAGAGGTGAGTTCTTAGCCGGGGAGAAATGATTGAGATCATAATGGTTGCCTAGCCCCACATGCTATACATACCTTTTATCGGTGCCGACACAGAGGGTACCTAGCTTCCGATGCAGAGGATAGTACAACTACATGTTTCATTAGGGTTCTTTGCAGCTATTTTTGACTTCTTTTATGTATGTGACTGTGTAGCAACTATTTTGCTCATTAGTTCTTTGGGTTGCCTATATATACATGGACATATGTATTGTATTGCACAACTTTTGATCCGAATCTGTAAAATCAGGATTTTGATCAAATCACACATTGTAGTATACTATGCCTTCTAATTCTTTAAGAGGCTTATCTAAAAGATTCGCAATATAACTAGGAAGAATATTGAATACCAAGTTGTTGAGATATACAGACTTCTTCCCCAATTCTTTTTCTATCTCTTCTTCTTCTCTCTCCCAGTTATACATCACACTGCATCTAAATTATGTTGGGAATTTGAATGGGAGCTTGTTTTCTGCAACTCTTTCGAACCCAAAACACCTTGAACAATCCATTGTTTACCTTTTTCATACTTGTGAAGTATGAGGTACATACTGAAGTCACAGATGAACCAAACAAAGCGAGCAAGAGCTTGAGCTCATTGCCCAAAGGCGCTTTCAGCCAGTTTTTGAAATAGGGTCTTGAAGACAGGAATGATTCTATTTTTCTAGAAAGGGATGGGTAGATCATGGAAGCTAGTATCTTAATCAGTTATGGTTGACATTGTGATGAAATCAATAGAAGAACAAGATGTGCTAAAATAAGCAGCACTGACCTTATTACTAAAATAAGCCTACTAGCTTTCTTTCTTTATTACGACATGGTTCAGGGAATTTCTTCTTGAGATGTTCTGCTGCAAATTTCATGTAGTTAGTACGAAAAGGATTTGTGTACCAGTGCACCAGTGACACCTCGTTATGAAGTTAAGAGAACTTTATGAAATCCTTTTTGTTGCATATCCCTCTTGGCAGTTCCAGAAGTTTCTGCTAGAAATTATTAAATTAATTAAACCTATCAAAAAAGAAAAAGAAAATGAAAGAAGTATAATGGTGTAGTTCAGACGGGTTTAAGAAGTATTCCGAGACTTAATTTTTTCTAATTGTCTTCAGTGAATTGTTAGTACTCTTAGTTACGGCTCCTTTGCAAATCAGAAGTCCGGAAACATCATAAACTTTCCCTTTTTTACTTAATATTACTATGGCCATCTTCTATCATGGTATGGATTGCTTTAATTGTGTCACAAAGAAAATGAACGTGAGTTGCATAATTGCCCTGACATTTACCCAACGTGATAAAGCGTCAATTCATACCCCAATGTTTTGATTCTACTTTGTAAAAAAAATGGCTATACAGAATGATTTGACATTTCATTTGCAGATGAGTCATAGGCATCCTATTGTGCTGTTGATGATGTTAGAATGTCATCTAATTAAGACATGGTTGATTTTTGATAATGGAAGGCCAAACAATGATGTGGTTTTTCATTCCTGATATCAAGTTCTTTTATTCTGTTCCGCAGCTGCTGCTTCGTCCTGAAGTTGAGTCTGTCTTACTGCAGCAAGTGCTAAATCTCACACCAGAGCAGTTGAGTTCGCTGCCCCCAGATCAGCAGCAACAGGTCATTCAGCTCCAACAGATGCTTCGTTAAGTTCACTTCTCGCCAGTTTAGTTGATGGTTTCGTGCTGCAAGAGGTCCCCTGTGAAGCTCCTAATTATCTTTTGAAGTTTTTGGGGCAAGGATTAGTAATCAATTTAATCAATATCTACAGTTGTATAATTATTCTTCACAGAAGATCCAGTCCAGGATCTGAAATGCACAATTTTATATCCCAAATCATGTAACGTTTACAAGGTTGTGAAATGTCCAAAGGCAAAGGAAAATTTTTGGCTGTTCTTCCTTGATTTTTAAAAATTATTTCACCATGCAAACAGTTTTCCCGTGCTTTACCGGTGTCAATGCTGCACTTTCAGATGGTCAGCAATTTTTATGATTCTTTGTATGAGAGAATGAATGATAAAAATTTAAGGTTGTGTGTTGGTTCAGGTTGACGGCTTCATTATTTGTTTTAAGTTTCCAATTTCCAAATACTAAATTTGTATTGCGTTTGTGGCTGAATTTTTAACTCATGGGATGAACTGTTATTCTGACAGTCTCTAGTAAATAGCATAAATTAAATTGTTGTTCGATGGATGAGAACACACGGTTTGTCTATCTTTAGCTTTTAGCATCCTAGTGAATTTTCATGCATTTTCTTTAGCCACGGCAAGGTAAATTAGGAATACATACATATATATATATATGTGTTTGTATATATGTTTTTTTTTTTTTTTTTTTTTTTTTTTTGGTTTTTTTTCAATTTGAAACCTGTTATCACACATTATGTCTCATTTCATTTCACTTGAAAATGAGGAATTTCTTGAGGAATTTCTTGCATTCATGTTTCTTTACCACTAAGATGAATTTAAATGTACATCTTACATATAAATTCATCTTGCACAACCTCAATTAAGAAACATGAATTCTTCTTGCATTCATGTTTCTTATTTTATTTATTTATTATTATTCTTTACCACTAAGCTTTTACCACAAACTATGCTAGTCTTCCGATGGCAAGGGGTGTGGGAAAATTTTGGTGACCAAATTTTTAATAAATAAATAAATAAATTACTTTTGAGTAAGCTTAAAGTTAAGAAAAGTCAAATGAATAGTAACCAAATTTGAAAAATAGTTTATAGTCCTAAATACCCCTCTATACGCAACCTCACCATCCTTCACCACTGATACAAATGTTTGTGGATTGGTGAACAGTAAGAGGACTATTGCAAGAAATGTTGAACGACTGGTTTTAGGGTAAAAGTTAACAGTAACTATGGTTGTTTTTTTGTCAATTAAAACACACACACACACACACACGTCATATTTGATATTCCTCCAAATTTATCAATATACTGTTTTAATTGAAATCGGACTTCTTCCTCCCAAGGAGTTCTTTCCAGTACTCTCTATTCCACTGATTTTTGTCAAGAACATCCAACGAGAGCTGGTGGAATTATATTATTTTTTAACAATAGAAAAATTCAAGAGTTGCAAGTATAATTATTCAACATGGCCATCCAACTCCTCAATTTAGTTTGGATGGAAAGTAAAGAGAAAAAGAGAAGTTGGGAATATGTGAAGTAACTAAAGTTCGAGAGTAACTGAGACTGAGCATGAGTTTAATTAATTTAAATAAAATGGTATAAAAAAAGATTGAAAAAATATATATATAAAATAAAATTTGCTATTCACTTCTAATAGTAGTATAATAAATATAGATGCATTATGCACTTTAGTGCACGGATATACATACATACCTCTTTAGCATTTGAATATGTGATTGATGTGCACTAAGTGTATCAATTATAAAATCCCTATTTATAGCACAAATTCTTGTAGAAAATGACTAAGTAAGGGTTATCGATCCACGAAGATTGCTAGCTTATGTCAATCAAAACTCTAAGAGTACTTTCAAGTTTGATAGAAAAATGTTTTGTTTGATAATTTGTTTGTCACTTAACATGAAATTACAATTTAAAATATAAAGTAAAATGGATTCAGTTGCTAGGGAATTGACTTCACTAAGGCCTCATAAACATGTTTACATGCAATCAACTTGGGGGAAAACAACTAAGTATATAACTATGATGTGTAGAAGTATAAACAACCACAACATTTTTCAGAAATTTACACAATTCAAAATTAAGCATAACCCATCTTTAGTTAGAATGGCTCATCCACCTAAACTAAATTGTGTTATGAACTATCTTCCCTAGGCATGACCTATCAAAGTTCTCAAATTGTATGTTAATGCACGTGAAATTCAAGAATCTAGCATAAATTATCTTCAGTAGGCATGGACTAACTACCTAACTAAATTAATCTAAGGGTGTAGCATGGTCCATATTCCCTAAGCATAACCTATCCAATTTCTCATATAATATGCCAATAAAACCATTTCATAAATTCATTCTCATTGTCACTATAAGAATGTAAAGTGTATAGTTATGCAAACATGATTTCTAAGACAAGACATACATCTCAGCATAAATATATATTCAAATGAAGCTCAAATATATCAATTTAATGTATACACATTTAATTTATGAAATCAATAATATACAAGAAGAATTCCCCAAATTGAAAGACAATTACAACATATTTACTTGGTCAAGGTTACATCAATCCCCTAGGAGAGGAATAAGCTCATACTGGGCATGGTGGAAGCTCCAAAGTAGGAAGAAGAAGACTCTCTTTTCAGTTCTATAGCAGCCCCCTTTTCCACACACAAAAAACCTAATTTCTTCCTTACTTTCTCTCTCTAAAAACAATACAAAACTGAATAATTTTGAATCTACAATAGAGAGATATATATAACTGCTCTCTATAGTCAGATTCTAGTTCAAAAACTGATTAAAATTGTGCATTCAAGTGGGGGAGAGGGAAGTTCAAAACTGAAAATCTTTTGATAGCTCATTTACTCGCAGGTGGGCGTCCGGACGCAGCGGCCGACGTCCGGATGTAACTTATCATGGCTGGCCTCCTTGTGCACGTAGAGTGCTTGCAACGGCTGATCTTGACATGTGGCATCTGGACGCAGAGATGGGCATCTGGACGGAAATTCCGTTGGCTACTTAAATGTTATTTATTTCAATTGCAATTGTTTAGCCAAATTTTCCACCGGAAGCTGCGTTCGGACGCTAGCTTAATTTATGTGGTGACTTCATCTTCTTTGCTAGTCTTCTCGAGTCAACTTCCTTCCTCAAAATAGACTTGTTAATGATCTTAAGATCCTTTTTGATTGATTCCTCAGTTCGCCATGATCCACGTCTCTTGAAATCTCGTAAATCCTTGCTTTTATTCATTTTAGGGGACAAGTCCTGAAAATAAATAAAATACACAAAAGCTTATAAAGTACACATTATTGATACAAAAATGAACTAAAACATGCAATTAAGGGTACTTGAATATGAAATATTCTGTAATGAACCGGTCATTTTCCTTCCTTTCTTTTTCCAGCATTTATTTTTATTTTTATTTTTATTTTTTATATCTTTTTCCTTGTTGTCGTTTCCTTTCACGTAACCTCACTTTTTGTGCTAGGATTTAAACCCGGCTTTGCATGCATCCATTACATTTGTTTTCCATGAAATACGTAGTTTTACTTTTGTATAAAAACATGCTACTTATTTACTTTTCATGTAAGGGTATGGATGCATAGTTTCTTCGGAAACATTTTGGCTTTTAGGGGTAATTGTGTAATTTTCATTTTGTAATTATTTTTCTTCTCAAGGACTATTTTGCAATTTAATTTGCAAGACATTTTGGGGAGGGATCTTTTTACAATTTTTGGAAAGTGTGATAAGTGTCACACTCTCATTGGTCCACTTGTAGGCAATTGTGTGGTGACACTTGGATGCCTTGGATGTTGACAAGTGGAGGGCTTGGATTAGGCCTTGAGAGGAGGCCTAAGATGGTGACAAGTGTAGGCTTTAGATGGGATCTTGTGAGGAGGCTTACTTAGTTGACAAATGGAGGGGTGGGATGAGTTGTGTGTGTGAGAAAGGTAGTGCTAGTGCACATAGTGAGTGGAGAAATACAAAAAATCCCACTAACTTCATCACTTTCCCACCTTTGCTCTCAAAAACCCTAACTTGCCTCCATTTGTGTTCTTGAAACCCTAGAACTACCACCATAGTTTTAAGCCATTTCCCTTCACCTTTTGACTTAACCTTTGAAAGGTAAAAGCTTCTCCTCATCATCCTCTACAAAACCTTAGAACGGTTTCTTGGAATTCTTTGGTTTGCCTTGGATTATAGAGATTCAATTATCTATTGAGGTAGGGGTGGTTGTATATATATTTCCTTTGGGTTTTATATATATTTGAGGCTTTATATATATTGATTACATGCTTTTCAATTATTGTATTTGCATATAAATAGAGATTTTATATGCTTGACTAAGCGTTTGTGATTTAAAGCATGTATAATTATATTTGTATTGTGTAGTGAAATTATTGCTTAATGACTTGCTTAATACTAGAGATTTCATTGAGGGTGTATTATGAAAATCTTGAAAATTGCACTTGTATTTACCTTGTTAGTCTATTACTATATTGTGTGGATTAGTAATTGTGACTTACATTGATGGTAAATTGATTTAGCGTAACATTTAGTGTCATTGACTTGCGTGTAACGAATCGCACATTGAAGATTCGACATTTGACGTTCATTGTAAGTGTGATGAATTGCACATTGAAGATTCGACATGCTGTATGCCATTTTAGACATGAAACTTTAGGACATGGTTTATGTGGTTTCACCCTACTTATGTTTGGTAGGTAGTTTCATGCATTATTGTTGTGCATGTATATGTTATGAACTTGTTGATTTTTGGAAGATTGTAAGGATATGAAATATGTGATGGCTAGTTTGGCTCTAGTGCAGGGAATAAGAGTTCTCCCTATGTCATAGTGCACACTAGGTAGTACCTTATGGGTCGTAATTGCCCAGAATAACTTGTATTGTCTTGAGGCCACATATCCTAGTCTTTCCAAATACTTGATTTCACATTCAATTCCAAGTTGTTAATTATGGATTACTTGTAGCTTGTGATTTGGTGCTCCATGTTTCAACACAGTTTAATATACTTGTGTTAGTATGCTTGTATGCCTTGTAATTATCATTTCATTGCTTGTGTAGCTTGAGATGATCCCTTAGTTCACCTTGAAAACATAAACGTTAGTTGGAATGCTCCTTTGTAATGATCTATGTTGAGCTTGCATGATATTTGAAACAATAGGGTATACGCATGCACTTCTTCTTACGAGTAACTTGTTTATATATATATATATGATAAATACTTGGTAAAAGTTCATGCATAAATGACATGAGTTTACATCTTGTCACTTCTATGTTCTGGTCAAAATTTTTATTTTATTTTTGTTTTTTGGCTCAATCATATGTACGGGTCTGTGTTGGTCTATAATTGGGTTTATTCCTCTTTA